AAAGGAAAATGAATGCTATTATCCGTACTTTGTCCGTCTGTACGTTTGTTTTTCAGAATTCTTTACGGATAATCTGCACAATATTGGTATGTAATTAGAGTTTTTCAGTAATCTTCCCTTTGATGTCTCAGAATGTTTGCAACATTTTTGCTGTATTTTGTACAAGATAATTAATTAATTAACTAATTAGAGAAAATAAGAAGTAGTATGACTATTTTTACATAGAAGCAGAAAACACACATATCCATCTGAAATAAGAAATTTACAATGTGCAGCATCTGCAATGTATGGGGGTAGATACTTCGGCAATACATGCCGATCATAAACGCAGTCATAGGCGCGCGCTTTGGTATTTTCATCATTTTGTAATGATATAGTTTCTTAAAATATACTTAGCCGATTTCTTTTAAAACTACTTAATACATAAATTGATCGCTTAACTGGAACATTTTGGTTAATAGGGACATCCGTCATCCGACATAACACTAACGTTATTTCCTACAAAAACATGTGATGATTTTGTAGCAATGCAAAAGAGAAGTATAAAAACAAAATAGAATTAATGCGTTTTTGATGTAGAGAATATTAGCCGGCTATATAAGTGAGGATTGATCTACTAGTTACTAGTTTTTTTAATTTTTGTTATTAAAATCACAGTTGATAGTTCTCTATTACTGGTTGACCTACTTAAATTATGTGAAATAAAAAACAACCACAAAAGGAAAACCATATGCGACTGATAACGGCTTTGAAACGTTAGGAAGGGGTACATAATGTAGTTGTGAGCTAACGAAAAGACTGGTAGATTATTTATACCATAGATTAAAATGTTTATAGAAAGAACTCAATTGTTGTTAACATGACATGTACCCAAAATAGATAAGTCCGTAACTCTTTAGCGTCTTAGTTGATAACTATTTTGCACCTTCTGGGTTATATGATATTACGTTTCAGTAATTTGTGAACGTCCGTATCTAATTAGTATCTTTGCAATCTCGGTTAAATTATGATCGAGCTTGAAACGCGTATGTTGTTGGAGACCACCACTTTCTGTTGTCAAATTAACTCCCGTAACTGGTATAGAAGCAGATTACGAGTAGAGCGAGGCTCTTCAGGCATTAATCAATTAATTACATTTACCGAGTCCTGCGGCTTGAAGAGGTTTTCAGGTTTGGATGCTAGATCTCAGTTCTTTTCGTCAACGTTTAAATTTATGCAAGGAAAGAGTTGCCTTATACGCCTTACGTGCGAATTTTTGCCCGAAATTTCAATTATTTGTGGAATGTTGTTTTATGATTCAGTCATTAGTTTGCTAATCGATCATTCTTGATTGGGGCAATTTCAATTGCACAGTGCATTTAGTAAAAATTGTCAGTAACGTACGCCATAATTTTGAATATTTGTTTTAGTACCTAAATTTTATTTGCACTTTTATTACTACCCTCGTATGTTCTCATTGTCATACCAGGAGAGTTCAGCCTCATTGGTAAGTACAACGAAGGACGAAGATCAAATACCCAGAACGAACTACCACTGTGGAAGATCTCAAGTTCTTATTTTGTGTTCCAACCGTGCTAGTTGGCCGTTTATACGGCGGGTTTGAAGAAACGCAGTGCCACCTCTGCCAACCGTTATACAGGGTGATTCCTATAGTACCTGCCACCGTTTGGGAGCGTATAGGGGGTGCCTAGGGGAAGTCTTTTCATATAGGACACTTGGGGTCGGAAATCCAAAATAAGGGCGCCAGAACCAAATTTATCTTCTGGAATTTCACGCCTGTATGTAGGCAACCCAACCGACCGACGTTTCGCGCGGAGCGATGCAGAGCGAGTTAGCGCGAGGAAGCGACATGGGAGGGAAGAAGGGAAAACGACAGTCAAAAGCAATAACGTTTACAAGTGTTCAACGTGGCCACCGTTGTTCTCAATGCACTTCCTACATCTAGCCAACCACTCCCCTCGAACTCGCGTGAAGACTCCTATGTCCTGGCGAACAGCCTCTCCGGCCATGACGACGCGCGCAATTAAGTCCTCTTCGGATTCGACGGGAGTCTCGTAGACGTGCGCTTCCATCACACCCCACAAGTAAAAATCTAATGGGGTGATGTCGGGCGAGCGGGCAGGCCACTCCACCGCACCTCCACGGCCGATCCATCTGTCCGGATAGGTTTGGTCCAAGTGTTCCCTCACCTGCCGCCCGTAGTGAGCAGGGCACCCATCGTGCTGGAACCAGTGGTCCCAGTACAAGTTCACTGGAACATTCATTAAAAGTTCTGGTAGCACCTCGCGCAGGAAAATCAGGTAATTATGGGCATTTAGACGCGGAGGGAGGATGTAAGGCCCCAGTAGGTTGTCCCCCAGGATGCCAGCCCAAACGTTTAAAGAAAACTTGTCCTGGTATCCTCGCGTAAACGTTTCATGAGGATTGTGCTCCGCCCAGTAGTGGCTGTTACGAGGATTGAAGGTCCCCTCTCTTGAGAATCCTTTCTCGTCAGTAACTAGCACGCTCCTCAGAAAGTTCGGATTAGCTTCTTCCTCCTGGACGACTAAGTTGCAGAATTCCAGCCTCCTTTCATGGTCACCCGGCCGTAACTCTTGCACTTTCTTAAACTTATAGGGGTGTAAGTTGTTGTTGTTGGCGATGTTCCACACTGTGTGTTGACTACAACCCACCTGATCTGCTACAAGTCGAGTGCTAGTACGCGGGTTTGCCTCGAAACGTTCCAACACATCCTCCTCTAAGGCATTTACCAACGGGCGATCGCGATCACGGGCGCTAGTGGGCTGCGAAATAGGAGGAGGTCGGTGTAAACAAACAAACTTTTCGAAATGGGTGCTTAAATGACCCAAGTATCGATGTGCATCACGAATCTGTGTGTAAAGTTAAGCCTCCGTCAGCTTACCTGCAATTGCCCTGTCTCGCACAGTCGGAAGTGAACTTCTTGAAAGACCTGTCTGCAGGGTAACTGACGGTTTGGATACCGCTCAGCGTACGCTCGTCGTGCAGCTCGTGCGTTACCATTTGCCAATCCGTACATGAAGTGCATGTCCGCGTATTCCGTGTTAGTAAAACGTGCCATAGTGTTTATTCACTTGATACGCGTCGTTGCAGACGGGATTTCGTGGGTTTAAACAAAATTCTGATCAAGTGTCAGCCACACATCGCCGCCTGAGATCGCTCCGTGTGCACCGCCGGCCGGTTGGGTTGCCTACCTACAGGCGCGAAATTCCAGAAGATAAATTTGGCTCTGGCACCCTTATTTTAGATTTCCGACCCCAAGTGTCCTATATCAAAATACTCCCCTACGCACCACCTACACGCTCCCAAACGGTGGCAGGTACTATAGGAATCACCCTGTATATTATTTATTTCTTACAGTTTATAACATAATACGAGTGGGAGCTATTCGTCACTAATATTTCACTTCGCCTTCGGCAACGCGGTTAGATGGCGATGGATTTTATGGCGCCTCGATGTCTGTCGGGATTTCTAGAATATTCACTACAACTTGTATTCCGTAAGCGAAGAAACGTACAAGAGAAGATAACGAGGATTTACCTGCACCAAAAATGTTTCAACAGGTGTAACGTGTTTTTTTTTTTGCTTGAAAATTTTTCCTAACATTCGAAAGTATATGCCACAAGTAATAAGCCTATTGAAAATGGGTCAAATCCAATGACCCCTTGGAATCACGCCTCTCTATTTCTGCCAAACGCTTGAACCTATTTAATTTAGTTCAAACTTTGCACAGTTGACCTATATGCCACATGTAATAAGCCTATTGAAAATGGATCAAATCCAATGAGCCCGGGGGGTCACGCTTCTCTGTCCCTGCCAAACGCTTGAACCTATTCGGTTGAAACTTTGGACAGTAGACTTACATGCCACATGTAGCAAGTCTATTGAAAATGGGCCAAATCCAATGACCCCGTAGGATCACGCCTCTCTGCCTCTGGCAAACGCTTGAACCTATTCGGTTCGAACTTTGCACAGTTATGGTATGGTACTCCATCGAAACGTTTTCACGGATTAGAATTTTTCAGTTAAACAATTCGAGGGTTTGAACTTTCCTCGCCTTTTTCGTTTCACATGAACTTTCATGTTCCAGCAATATTTATAGTCGAAAGGTTCCAGTGATGCAGAAATTAGTATGTATATCAGAATGTAATTCGTATCTTCCTCGATCTATACCATTATGGAAGATGGTTGGCTATAATGTTGTCATCGCTGCAACAAGTTCACTAATTGGAATTACAAGAAATGGGTACTTCTGGGGAATCTTAAAGTTGGTTAGTCACGATGATCCAGTTTCGGAACATAATCTAAAGCAGATAAAAGATTCTCATAATCGACATCTAAAAATGAAAGCTCATTATTTGTCTTCGGAATTGGAAGAAGCGAAATCGGCCTGTAGCTGTTCGGCCTTGCAAGCTCTTTCCGTGTTTCGGCAGCATGATCACGACGGATTGCTTCCACACGACTCCAGAAAGTGCTTTATATGCAGGATTGCGTTGATGATTCTTGTGAGATAGTGTTGTCCTGGTGATATTTTGAAGGACGCGGAAACTTTACATCTCCTCTCACATGTTGCTGCAGTATAATCTGCAGGAGATACGTGTAGTGCAGATCATTTGCTATCTAGTTGTTTCGGGTTACCTATGAAATCTAAAAAATTAATCCAAATGAGCTTTTGTAAAAATATTGTTTGTAATTTAACCAAGATGGTAAATGACCGTGGCATCGTGAATGTTTCTAACTAAAATGTTTTTTTAAAGCAAGCGGTTGCACAAGCCATAGTTGTATATTACCTAATGTGGAAATCGTGCACACACCGTACAGTCATGGTTAATGGCATGTTTTGAAGACTAATACAAACTCGTTGACGCTGTGTGACAGAACAATATTCTAATTTGCTATTGTCACAATTTTTATTACTCATTACCATTGAATAAAGCCATTACTAATAACTAGTGCATGAGTAACTCTAACCATTCAATGTTAGTCATGTATCAGATTGCCAACATAATTCATTCCTTCTGGCTTCTGAAATAAAAAACAATTGTTCCAGACACGTAAAGACTAACATTTTTGAATTCGTAATTGTCCAATCCAAAATGTGCAATTTTATTTGCTTATTTATCTATTTAAATGTTATGTATTTATTGGTGACGTAATTAAACGTAAAATTACAGGTTCTAAGAAAATGGTTTCAATTCGTTAATTCTAGGCATACCTATGTAATTTATTGGTTTTTCCTTGGTCTCAGTTGGCGATTTATCTGTTGATACCTGATTTTCAAGATATCCTGGCATAACGGGGAAATTAAATACTGTATGTAAATTTAATTACGTGATTTATTCATTACAATTAATTATTAATATTCACAGGAAGTAACAGTGTTAACGATGAACTACATTTATAGCGGCTCTAACAATTAAATGTTTCTAATTTAATTGCAGTCATATTTATAACACTTACTTCACAACACGAGCGCATATTTCGTTATTTATCACTTCGACATCGATTCACGTTCATTAGAAGGAATATCGTACTGATTCACATCCGCTTTTCTTCCTTATGGCCGGTGACGAACCCTACCTACTTGATGGCCAAACGATAATGATCTAGAAGGATCGGTACACCTACACGCTACACTGCCCTCCTCTTCAAGCTGTTGCGCGCATCCAACTTCTCAAGGCCACATTCCTATTTTTGAAGTTGCCAATTTTGTGACACTATGAACTTGTAAATTGTTGTTTTAAGTTGTCCAAAAATCCTAGGCTAATGCCAAGAGTGGTCTTTCGATGTGCGATAATAAAGAAACCACCGCCCCTACTCCTGTACGAAATACGCTTTATAAACCTCAGGACGTTACTTCTAGTGAACTGAATTGGACACATATATAAGGTGTCCCAACGAAACCATAAAACTCGGCAAAATAAATGTTTTCACAAAAATTCAATTTTTATGCGAACATAATTATTGAAACTTTAACTCTGTGCTAGGGTTTGTTCCCCTCCTCTCATATTTTTAAATAGACCAAGCCATTCATTTGGAAGGGGTGGTAATATATCCTATATCAAAATATCAGAAGATATTTAACAATAATAAGTTATTCTAAAACATACCTTCGAAAGTAAAGCATCACTAGATCGGTGGGCCACTGTGCTAAATGAGTCACTGTAACCGTGGCTCTTAATTTACAATTATTTATTTTTTAATTTTTTATGAAGTACCTGGTTACGTTAAAAGTATCGTAACTCGACATATTTATTGTTTTGATGTAAAATTAACAGTTGGTCACTTTCTCCGTCCGTAGGTACGTCCGAGGCCTTAACTACTCCTACAGTTTTAAACATAGTTAATTCGTTTTTTTTGCATTCGTCTCTGGCACCTCAACCAAGAAACATCTTGACGATTAGTATGCGCATATATCAACTTTCTTATTTATACATTTTTAAAATTTTAACCACAGATGCTTCTAGTAAAGACGATCATATCGCATATTGTAAAAACCAAATGTGCGCATGTGCAAACTGCAGGTTTCTTATTTATGGAGATATGTTTAGCGCATTTTCCAATTCATGTTGGAAGGTGATATTATGGGCACTTTCTTATTTATGGAGATATATTCTAACCACAGATGCTTTTATAAAGCAAATCCCATATTGTAAAAATTAGATGTGCGCAGGCGTAAACTACATAATGCCTACTTTCTTATATATAGAGATATTTTTTTGAAATATTAACCAATGATTCTTCAACTAAAGGGAAACATATCCTATATTTTAAATATCAGGTGTGTAAGTATGTTTCTAAATTATAAGAATATTTATGCCATAACTGATTTTCCTTTGTACACATAAATACTCCGATACATGATTTTTCGGGAAGTACTGATCAATTCATGGAAAATGCGCTAAAGTTACTCGCCTAAGGCGAAAACTTTTTTTCATTTCTATCTAATTCCTTGTAAATGGGTTTCAAATTTATTCGTTAAGAAATTCAAGTGTATTTTTAATTTTCGTCAAAATATATAAGATAATATGTGGAACCTCGACATTTTTCGAGTCTGTAGAATCTCTATAGCAGTTTCTGGAAATTCTGGTAAAATTATGAACTAATATCGGAAGAATTCTGGAAGGTTAAAAAGAGACAGATACTGCGACTCAAAAAGAATTAAAAAAATTGGATAATTTTGGCAAATCTTACTATGAACACATTGGTCAAATAGTGTTGGGGAAATCGGGATAACATTGAAAGGATTAATGAAAGAATTTTGGGAGAACTTTTGGCTGCATAGACTTTGAAAATGTGAGAGAACTGTTGGACAATTTTAAAAAAAGCATAGGTCTCGGAAGAGAGAGTTTCCATCCAAAATTCTTCTAGATGTGACAAATTCCGAGAAGTCCCAACATGAACTATCGCGATAGGAGGATAAACACGTTTTTAATTAAATTTACAAATGGCAAGATTTAAATCTTGTTTGAAAAGTGAAATTATAGTTGGTTTTGATAGCTTGCAACGCGGAAGCATTAAATTTGCGATATCTTTAATATCGGGACCTATAAAAAAGAAATTTCTTGCTACAATATGTGGAATTTTTCATTGCCCTTTCTAAACGGTCACTCAAACATATTATTTCACTTGTCAACGTACCCTGTCGCTTGGTTTTTTTTGTAGTTTATGGGTAATGAAATTGAATTTATTAACAAAAGTGTGATTTATGTTTCGTTACAACTTTTTTTAAATTATCCACTTCACCGCTATAGTGCTATTGCGTCTGCATGTAGGTACTTTTTCCTTGTGATTCAATACCTATGTACCTCTGCCTACCGTCACAATTTTGAAGCTAATTCAATGGTTAACGTCTGGACATGTTAAACAATGGTTGTAGTCAATATTTCCAGCATGATACCGCATCCCCAGCTGTAGGTACTAATAGGGAGTTCTGGCAACGACTTAAATCTCACCTAGGTACCACTTTAATTTGTTAACCGTGAGAAAATTTGCACACACTAACAATTTCATGCAAATTACAATTTTGTGAAGCACCTTTCATTCAACTTTCTCTCAGTATATTGAACGTGTTATTGGCCCGGGTTTAAAATTCTGTTACTTTTGGAAAACTCCTCTGACTTTCAAGTAGGCAATATAAAAGCGACCGTGCTAATGTCTGAGTGGCAAGACACCGTATATTAGTTAATTTCATGCGTTTGAATAATGGATCATTGTCCCACACGAAAAGAACTTTTTAAGATATAAATGATAGTTATTCATATGTGAGTATAGGAGAAAGTTCCGCATTAAAGGCTTTCATTATCTAAGGTCAATATACTTTGATTGATTTCTGTGCAGTCTAAATGGCGTAACAGCTATGACATTTTTTAATGCCATTTGGAATTTGCGGTGTTAATTGTGGCGCATAAGCTGGTTAATTATTTGATCCTTCTGTGCAAAAGGGAAAGTTGTCTGTAATTACCTGTTATAAACATACCTAATTACTGGATATTGTCGGAAACACCCTACTTAGATACGTGTTAAAATAAATTTAAACTTTTGGTTTACAACATTACCATTCTGATATGCACACCCTCAACGAAACTGGTGTACGACCATATGATTACCATAACGCAAGTTCACATTATAAACCGAAAAGGAATACAAACAAGATAAAGCGCATTTTTTTAACCGAAATAAATAGCTTTTGTTTTGACATCACCAATGGATATATTTCTTGCAGACGTCTTAATTGCCCTTTGTGAGTACCCTCTTCCGACAATCCGATCATGAGGAATAAGCGAATATACCCGATCACGATAAGAGGTCGAGGGGGAGGGTTATGGTTGGTAGAAATTATGTCCTTTCGTTGAGACCTTTCATTAGAGTACCATGAAGAATAAATCTAGAATAAAACTAGTCCCCCCTCCCTCGCCCTACACCACGTACTTTGATAAAATGACAGAGAGAAAGGCAGTAGTTGGTAGGAAATGCCCCCAGGCCCCGTCGCTCACTGATCTCGAAAAAGAGTCGCACAGGAAAATTATTGTTTGTACAAACCAATTTATTTCCATGAAACTTTTCATTAGAATACCATGAAGGGTAGACCATGTGTTCTCCCCCTCCTCGTTTTCTAAAGTTTAACTTGGCGCCACTAAAGGCATGCGTATGCAAAATCTAAGACCAATTGGTTGTCGTATGTAAAAGTTATGCACGTTTTACTTTAAAAAACAGCATCTCAGGAAATAATTCGTGGGGAGGGGGGAGGGAAGGCCTTTTAGACAGCGAAATTTGATGGTCGTCTGGCACACCTCCAAGGTATAGGCTACCTACTGCAAAAAATTCCAGCACTCTAGGACCATTCCCCTAGAAGTAGTTCGAAACGGCAGAAGTGGGACGGGCGCATTGCAGCGAACCACCAATGGACAAATAGTGGCGATTTAGGTAGGAGCAAGTCTTTCCGTTCAACATTGACACAATACAATCCCGGAAGTCGCTCGCATCTTAAGAAAAACATAGATTCGGGATCAGCAGTTGTTCTGTGACCGGCAATCTGTAAGCTCGTCTTTGTTTACATTACGATCAAGCAGATTCTTCCAGGGCATAAAATAACATGTTAACTGGGCGACACTTGTGTCGCCCAGTGTTGAGATTTTGTCGCCCAGTGGCTATGGGTGGTGCCGGCAAATTTATATTTTTTAATAATTTAATAATTCACATTTTACATTTATCGGAATTTTAAAAGTATTTAAAAAATGACAGACATTGAGTAAATATTTTAGAATATTCTCAGTTTCCGTTTAGTAAACAAGCGAGTAACAATGGAACTGCGATTTCTGACTTAAAATGAGTCGGGGAGAGTCGAGAGTCATTATTCATATACTTCTTTTGGGCCAAAAATCCCAACCGTACACGGTACAAACAAGTGTAGAACACATGAGAAAAGGCGCGCAGTTTGAAAGTATGTCAGTAGCGCATGCGCAGCTAAGTCGACGCTAGCGCTCCGATTTGCCGGCTTGCCGAATGCCGCCAGTCGAGAGTGCACTGTGTTGGGGGAATGTTGTCGGTCGACTCGACTCCAACTAACTGACCAGTGAAGTTGTATACTTTTGAAATTGAGCTATGATCTTGGCCCAGGGGGAGGGGGAGCCTTGGCCTGTTACAATGTTCTGGAATACGTAGGTAATTAAATGAAGTGAGATGACATGGACTATTTACGAGCAAATGCGATCGACAAATCCATTAAAAGACACGTAAAAATCTGTGATTTTCCCTTTAATTTGTGCAAACATTTTCCGGGGCCCCCCCTCTCTCCTGGGGGGTATCGCAGACCCCCCGGTGAGTACACTCAGTACAGGTCCTTGTCGCCCAGTGGAAATCCCTTAAAATATGCTCTGGATTCTTCATTGAAATTTTGCTATCATTTCTGATGTTATTTTCTAAATTAACAACC